ACCGTGGTCGGTTTTTGTTTAGCACTGATAGTTTCAGAGAAAACCCCAAATCCCATCGAATTTGGCCCACCCTGTACATATTTACTGTTGAAGTTACCCATACAGATTACCCGCACTCTTGCGCAATTGCGCATGTCCAATCATTTTAGGATCAAGTTCACATTTAACAGAATTGTATATTCGATCGACCCAGATCTAATATGTTCTGTTTGCAACAGAAACGAAAAAGAAACCTTATTCCATATTATTTTTGAATGCCCGATTTATACTGTAATGAAACATAAACAGTGCCTTCAGAATGTGGAAGCACTCATCAACGCATTAGAAAATCCAACAATTTCTGTAGCCAAAGAAATTTCTGAGTATACAGTGTGTCCCACTTACCATGCTCACCATGGGCATCTTTTTAACGGTGAGAGATACGAGGTCGGTTAAATGACACCAAATATGGAGTTTGTCAAGGCCAACTATAATGTGAAAAAATATTTTGAAAAAATCTATTCGTTTTTGTTTTATACGCAAAAAACAGATTTTGATCATTTTCATGTCTCCTCCGTAACTTCTTTATTTATGAAAATATTCAAATAGGAATTTCACATTCTCATGGCAGTTTTTCAAAGTGATTTCGAAAAATATATGAAATTTTTACCAACTCTTCTAGAATTTGAGATATCAGCACCAACTTTAGTTTTTCAAATGTAGGTCAAAGCTCACTATGACTTAGTTATAAATAACTTTTTTTTCTCTTACAGATGATATGTCGCAGTAATAGTTTTGTGTCATTTATACAAAAACAAAAAATTATTTGGACGCCGCCATCTTGAATTTATGAATTTTAACAAGAAAATCATAATCTCCGACTTCAAAAACCCCCACTTACCAATTTTGAATGGAATCGGACCAAATCTTGTCCGCCATCTTGGAGCAGCCATTTATTTTTAATTTCAACAAAAATTCCATAACTCCGATCAACTTGAAATTTGGCAGGTGTTCATAATTTCGGTGACAATACATTATGGAATATTTGTTGAAATTAAAAAAAATGGCTGCTCCAAGATGGCGGACAAGATTTGGTCCGATTCCATTCAAAATTGGTAAGTGGGGGTTTTTGAATTCGGAGATTATGATTTTTTTTGTTAAAATTCATAAATTCAAGATGGCGGCTTCCAACCAATTTTTGTTTTTGTATAAATGACGATAACTCCGTTGTTATCAACACAAAACTATTACTGCGACATATCATTTGTAAGAGGAAAAAAAGTTATTTGAAACTGAGTCATAGTGAGCTATGACCTACATTTGAAAAACTAAAAGTTGGTGCTGATATCTCAAATTCTAGAAGAGTTGGTATAAATTTCATATTTTTTTCGAAATCACTTTGAAAAACTGCCATGAGAATGTGAAATTCCTATTTGAATATTTTCATAAATAAAGAAGTTACGGAGGAGACATGAAAATGATCAAAATCTGTTTTTTGCGTATAAAACAAAAACGAATAGATTTTATCAAAATATTTTTTCACATTATAGTTGGCCTTGACAAACTCCACATTTGGTGTCATTTAACCGACCTCGTATCTCTCACCGTTAAAAAGATGCCCATGGTGAGCATGGTAAGTGGGACACACTGTATATGGAATATTCTCAGGTTACGTTCATTCATAATGAGTGAATGATATCAAGTAGGTATATTGAATTAATGATGTTCTTTGTTTCGTCATGAATGAATAATCCAGTGCGTTGGCAAATTTTCATTCAATGTTCATTGTTTATATAGTATTTTTTCTCACTCTAATTTTGATGTTATTTTTCAAACACCATAGAACTCTTGCTGTGAACTTGTTTTAGAAGCAATAACATTATTATTATTACTATCAGCAACGCTGAGGGATATCAATTGAACGTCCATATTGGATGTCCCAGGGATGTACGAATTATTCTTGAATTTAAATTTTTTTGGGTCCCTCTAGGACCAGACCTTGCATAACTGATGAGGACATCCAGTTGAGTTGATGGTCTGTAGAAGGTCCCCAATAGATCCTGAAAAATTTTCCCAAGGATATCCAATGGACTCACGTGAAGGACATTGACGGGGAGTATTTATAGCCTACGAGCAATCATTCGTTGGCGAGGTGTAAGTTAACGTCCTCGCAGGGACAACATATTGAAAGTATCAACTGGGACGTCCGTAGGACGTTATTTCTAGGGCATTGGATAAGTACAGTTCATGTACCAATTGGACATCCGACTGATATCCCTAAGGCACATTCGAAGGATCTCCCTAAGGGAGATTATACTATCTGAACTTATATACAATCATGTCAGCTCTTCTCTGTCTATCTTCCAGCATGGATTTGTCAAAGCTAGAAACACTGCATCTAACTTCTGTATTTTTTCACAATTCGTTTCTGATTCCCTTGACCAGAGGAACCAGGTGGATGTAATCTTTACTGACTTCAGTAAAGCTTTCGATCGCGTGTCTCACCCTCAACTACTGAAGAAGTTGTCAAGCTTTGGTATATCTACTAATATTCAGTTACTGCTCAATTCATACCAAACAGAACGGAAACTCTTTGTCGAGTGTGATGGAATAAAATCTTCCTGCTTTACAGCCTCATCCGGTGTTCCTCAGGGATCAAATCTTGGTTCCTTATTATTCCTGATATTTATTAATGATATCACTGATCATATTCATTCTAACAAGCTATTATTTGCTGACGATATGAAGATTTATAGAGAAATAAAGGATGAATCAGATTACATTGTACTGCAAGAAGATTTGAATTCTCTGAGTAACTGGTGCATTCAAAATAAACTCCACTTGAATATCAAAAAATGTAAAGTTATGACTTTCACTCGTAAACTTATCCCACTCACATTCAATTATGAACTTGATGGTAACACTCTTATGCGTATCACTGAATCGAAGGACTTAGGAGTTATTTTTGATCAAAAACTGACTTTCTCAAACCATATCATTTCTAAATCGATGAAAAATTTAGGTTTTCTCATACGCAACTGTAGAGATTTCAAGTCGTTCGATTCTTTGAAGAGCATCTACTTATCTATGGTCAGAAGCAAACTTGAGTACTGCAGTGTTGTTTGGATTCCTTCCCATTCCAAATACATTATGGCTATTGAGAACGTTCAGAAGAAATTCTTGAAATTTGCTTATTATAAAAAACATGGTATTTATCCCGTTAGAGGCTATAATTATGACCTCTTGCTACAGGAGTTTAATCTGATATCACTAAGAAAGTATCGCGAAATGAGAGATGTGCTTTATTTACAAAATAATTCACAACCAAATAGATTGTTCAACTTTATTGTCACAAATGATGTTCAATGTACCTCGTTTCTCATCTCGCTCATGTAACACATTTTACTTTCCCGTACCTAACACTGTGCATAACTTCCACTCACCTTTATCAACAATGTCTAGGAGCGTTAACAACACACCCAATGTAGATATTTTCTTTTTGTCATTTGCACAATTCAAACGTGATATTCTCAGCACACTTCCTAATTGATAATTATACATTATGCTCTCATTCACTTAATATTAATTATGCTTAGTATAGGACTACTCTTATCACCTATTATTAATTTTGTACACCTATTAATGGGCTCTTGGGCCTGTTGGATGTATTTTTTGAAATAAATAAATAAATAAATAAATAAATAAATAATTATCGATCCTGGAAATATTAAAGGCGTCTGTGCAGAGACATTTGAAGGAATGTACTATCAGGGACATTTCATGGTTGTCTAGAAGGGACATTATATAAGATCTGAAGTCATGCCAGGATATGTACAACTCGGGATATCCGATGGATGTCCCAAAAGGAACTTTTAAAATCATATCCCATCAGGGACATGCCAAGGACGTCCTCGCAAGGAGCCGTTTTAAATTTTACTAGTTCCAATTTGGACGGATGATTCGATGCTGACCTACTAGTTGTTTTTAATTAATATACTTTTCTCCATAAGGTATGTTCTTTCGCAGCCACCATATTGTCTAGATTTAACAACTTGTAATTTTCTAGGTACTTTTTTACATTGTGTCTGAAGATGGCCGTTGAGCCGAAACTATAGTCACTCCTTTTATTAAATTTTGTGGTCGACCGACTTTGAGTTTTTGTTTTTTCTCCATTTGAAAAATACTGGGCCACTTTGAGAATGGATGGTTTCCATGACTTGCATGCTACAGTGTTTACGGCTGGCCTCTTGAGACATGAAGGAACCTAGACAAGCACATTTAGACTACTAACAAAAATAAAAATAATGATTGAAACATTTTCAAATCTCACGCAGGTAGTTGATTAGTTTTTTTTTGCAGGTTTACAGCGCAGTACCAGTTGCCTGAAATCATAATCCACACCACATCAGCAATCTTCATTGATTCAACGTTGGATATCTGCCTGCAGGAAAAATTACATTCATTATATTGAAGATTGAAGATGTCCAACCCATGATGAGCCAAAAAGTCACAAGAGAGTTCAGTTAAATCGAATTCTTCCCGCTCCTAATGGAAAACCAACCGAACCAGAAATATCTTCTTAACTGGAGAAATATGTCAAATATGATGATGAGTATTCAAATGTGAAATTTGCTATAGAAAGTTTACCTCAAAATAGACCTTGACGGACACAAATAGCTGCATACCGGTGAAAATTCTTTCGAGTGTGAAATCTGCAATAGAAAATTCCTAACTAAAGGATACTTAGCGCATTATAGTATTCTACACACCGATAGAAAACCTTTTGGATGTGAAATTTGCTATAAAAAGTTTACCGCGAAACGAACTTTGAACGAGCACAAAACAGTTGCACACCGGTGGAAATCCTTTCGAGTGTGAAATCTGCAAAAAAAAATTCGAAAACGCAAGGCCGAGCACTTTTTTTGCACACCGAAGAAAAGCCTTAGGGTCAAATTCGCAACAAAAATTATAGAAAAAAGCGATACTTGAAGGAACGCTAAAAGTGGCACACTAGTGTAGATATGTTCGAGTGTGAATTATGCAAAAAGAAATTTTTAACCAAGAGATACTTGACCGAGCACATTCATTTGCATACGGGTGAAAAATCTTTTGAATGTGTCATTTGCTATAAAAAGTTAACTTCGAAACGGAACCTGATCGACCACAAAAAGTTGCACACAGGTGAAAAACCTTTCGAGTGTGAAATCTGCAAGAAAAAATTCGTAACCAAAAGATACTTGGCCCAGCACTGTATTTTGCACACTGAGGGAAAGCCTCGGGAAAAGCTTTTCGAATGTCAAATTTGCCACAAGAAGTATAGACAACAGCGATACCTGAAGGAACATCAAAAGTGGCATACTGGTGTAGATGTATTCGAGTGTAAATTTTGCGAAAAGAAATTCCTAACGATGAGATACTTGAGCGAAGAACACATGCTTTCGCACGAGGGTGGAAGATCTTTCGAATGTAACATTTGCGATAAAAAGTTGACTTCGAAACGGAACCTGGACGACCACAGAAAGTTGCACACTGGTATGAATCTTTTCGAGTGTGAAATCTGCAAAAAAAAATTCATAACTAAGAGATACTTCAACAAGCACTGTATTTCGCACACCCTTGAAAAACCATTAGAATGTGAAGTTTGTTACAAAAAGTTCACTACGAAACGGAATTTGAACAAGCACAGAAAGATGCACACTGGTAACAAGAAGGTTATCGTTCGCAAAAAATTGTACACCGGTGGAAAATCTTTGGAAAGCGATATTTCTCATGAGGAGTGTTTTAGTGAAGATGTTTCGGATGTGCACAATGAATCACAAAAAGTGAAAAGTGAATTTGACAGTGCTATTGTCGAACAGGAATTTAAGATCGAATTTGAACAAAATGATCTACAATCAGACGATCTATCAGAACACTCAAACATAAAACTTGAATATAATTAAAAATAAATACAAAAAGCTCAGTCATTTCTACACAATGTTCATAAAATGAACCAAAATGGTAGATTTCGGAAGAATAAATTGAAAGTAAAAAAAAACTTTTTAAAATAAGCTTTCATTTAAATGCTCTAAAAAGGAGAAAATAAAATTTTTCTTGATAATGTTAACTATCAACTTATAACCTCATTATACACAATTTATATGATCATAAAAGTTTGTTGCGCGATTCACTCGTGTGAATAAACTAGTACTTATTTAATCATGTAAAATCTGCTGAGATAATATTTGTGGAATTACAATTTAATTGAATATTGATCATCGCGACAAGCTTTTATGATCATATAAATTGTGTGTAGTGAGGTTATAAGTTGATAATTAGAATTATTAAGAAACATTTTATTTTCTTCTTTTTAGAGCGTTCAAATGAAAGCTTTTTATTAAAAAGTTTTATTTTACTTTTAATTCATTTTTTAATTTCTAGTTATCGCTAGCTGGATTTTTCGATTTACTCTCAACGAGCCTTTTCATTTGATACCCATATTGTGGGAGTATATTGAAAATGACCATTCCGTCATCTTGGATGGTCCGCCATAATGGATTCAGAATGACGTCACATCATTTTTCGAGTTACTCTCAACGAGCCTTTTCATTTGATACCCATATTGTAGAAGTATATTAAAAATAGCTATTCCGCCATCTTGGATGGTCCGCCATATTGGATTCAGAATAACGTCACATTATTCCTCGAATTACTCTCAACGAGCCCTTTCATTTGATACGCATATTGTAGAAGTAGATTAAAAATGACCATTCCGCCATCTTGGATAGTCCGCCATATTCGATTTAGAATGACGTCACATCATTTTTCGAGTTACTCTCAACGAGCCTTCTCATTTGATACCCATATTGTAAAAGTATATCAAAAATAGCTATTCCGCCATCTTGGATAGTCCGCCATATAGGATTTAGAATAACGTCACATTATTTTTCGAATTACTCTCAACGAGCCCTTTCATTTGATACCCATATTGTAGAAGTAGTTTAAAAATCACCATTCCGTCATCTTGGCTGGTCCGCCATATTCGATTCAGAATGACGCCACATCATTTTTCGAGTTACTCTCAACGAGCCTTCTCATTTGATACCCATATTGTAAAAGTATATCAAAAATAGCTATTCCGCCATCTTGGATAGTCCGCCATATAGGATTTAGAATAGCATGACACACCTTATCGTGCATTGTCATCCAAACTCCTCCTCTATATTTTAGGATTGATTTCATATGTTTGCATCCTGTGGCTTTATCTGCACATTTTATTATATTATGTCTGTATTTGTACCATAACGTTCTTGATGTTTTTAATGTTTTAATTTTTTCAATGTTTCTAATATTTTCAATATTTTTAATATTTTTAACATTCTTAATATTTTACTTTGTAATACCTATACAATGACTTTGTCGATAAGAACTATTTCTTCTGATAATAAAGCATATTTGATAATGATGATGATGAAACTGAACGTGTATACAAATATTCAGCTCAATCGGCTGAAGATTTCTACTTCAAAATTGAGTTCAAAGATTCCACCCGAACATACATACATCCATACAAACATACAATGCAAGTTAAATAAAAGCTTTCAATTTGAAATTAATGAAAAACAACTACTTTCCTGGCTAATGCCACGCAGAAGGTTGAATTTCTTCCTTCCGAAATCTATGCATCGACTCGTATAAACGAGCCACTCCCGTGTGGGCATTTTGGTTTTGGAGTGTTCATTTCCTTCTTTCCTACTCAGATGGCGTTGCTTTCATATTGGCTATGGAGGACGACGCTTCTGAGGAAATATAATGCCAACTTGATTTTTGTTTGGCTAGGCCACGCTTAGTCGGCGGTCTCAACACTGCTGGCCGGAAACTGCCCTGCACTGATGAGAGTCAAATAGTTCGAAACCGGTCTGTAGGTGTCTAGCGTGGCCTGGCTTGATCGATATCAATTGGCATTCAGGAAAGAATCACTTGTATCAGTATTCGTTTATACGAGCCCACGAAGCAAAGTTGAAAGCTATGTCGATTCAATGTTGATGCAATTACTCAAACGAACGTTCAGCAATATTGCAAAGGTGAAGTTTGATAATGTAGCGTTGCAGCAACATGTATGCTGTGACATTGCTGGAACGTTTTTCAGTAATTGCTACTACCGTGCATCGAAATATAGCTTCCAAATATGCTTAGTGGGAGATGCATAGATTTCGGGAGGGTGTAATTCAATGTTCTGCGTAGCATTTCAGCCAGGAAAGTAGTTGTTTTTCTCCGGAAATCTACCATTGTTGTTCATTTTATTATTGTGTGGAAATGACTTTGAGCTTTTTGTATTTATTCATCATTTCATTCCACTTCGAGCTCAGAACTTCGAGCATGTGTGGCTATTTTGTAGTTGAAATTACGCCAGTCGGGCAACCCGACACTCCCGTATGGGAATTTCAGTTTTGGAGTGATTCTTTCCTTCTGTCCTACTCATATTGCGTTGCTTTCATATTGTCGATGAAAGACGCCTCTGGGGGAATATAATGCCGACTTTATTTTTGTTTGGCTAGGCTGCGCTGAGTCGGCGGTCTAAGGACTGCTGGCTGGAGACTGCCTTGCACTGATGAGAGTCAAAGAGCTCGAAACCACTCTGTAGATGTCTAGCGTGGCCTGCTAAATCGAAATCAATAGGCATTCAGGAAAGAATCACTTGTATCAGTATTCGTTTATACCAGTCGATGCATAGATTTCGGGAGGATGTGATTGAATATTCTACGTGGCATTAGCTAGGAAAGAACTCTTTTTCTCCCGAAATCTACCATTGTTTCTCATTTCATGAACATTGTCTGGAAATTACTGAGCTTTTTGTATTTATTTAATATCTCATTCCACTTTGAGCATTGTGGCTATTTCGTAGTTAAGAATAGCAATATTCTTTTTACCTTGTTACAGTCTCACTATTGAGATCAATTGAGTTAGAAGGAGGTGAGACGGATCTGAGTTGTCGATTGAATAAAAAGAACACGTTTTTATCTGTCAGGAAGGGCAAGGGGAGAAAACATAACCCAACATAATTCAACCAAAATGTAAAATGGCCGAGGAAATTAATGAGGAGCATATAAATATTATTTGTAGTGAACAGATTTGACCTGTGGACTGAAACTTCAAAGCTGAAAGCATGTCAAAATGAAAATATAACCTCACAATTTTCAGCACAGAATCACAGAATTACTAGAATTAATCCAGTCTCACCTTTTTCTCACTACAACACCAGTTGGGGCGAGGGGGAAGAAAGTCTCAATAAGTTCTTAAAACAACTCACATCAGACTAAGATAAATGAAACATGTAATACAACTGAGCTATTGAGCTGCACTGAGAATCTTGGTTAATCTCCGTCAAAGTTGGTAAAAAGAATATTACTAATATAATTATTACTAGCTTTTACCAGCGGCTTGGCTTGCGTTGAAGCCAAAATGAAAAACGACACTTCTCTCAAAAACGACTTTCTTTACGTCATTCCAAGGAGACTAACTTTATTATGCGGAAGTGTTCGAAGAATCATATTCTGGGTACTAAAAATGAGATGAATCGTGAAACATAGCATAGGTTATGCATCTCCCTGTATATTGAATCATGTTTTCTGTCCCACGTAACAATTTGTAATTTCAAGTTAACCTCAGGTTTTTCATCTCTTGAGCGCAGGAAACGAAATTCCTATATGTTGATAGGATTTTTTCCTAATTTTATTCTGAATAATTACCATCTGTAGTATATACGACATATTCTGTATAGGCTATCTTTCTCGTCATACACTGAGAAATATAAGTGATATAAAATTGTATTTCACCTTCTCATTTTTTCTATTCTTGAATGTGCGAGTGGACTGATAATGAATTATTGACATTCAATTATACTCCACCGTGTCGTTAGAAACATTCAATTTTTGCAACATTTCTCGCGCTTTCTTTATGTAAATAATGAGTCGTTGTTCGAAATTGTACTTTCAGAGCTCATTTCAAACTAACCTTCATGGAGGCCATTTGGCGATACGTCGAATAAATGTCAGTTCTTATGCTGTTTCGTTATTGGTCAGGTAATCTTCCATTTCCACTCATGAAGCAAGGCTGTCGGGTCACTAATTATGATCAAGTCATCAAAAAGATGTTAAGAGTCTTGTCGTTGAATAGAACATAATAGGAGGAACCCATGATGTTATAGTTCATTCTTGACTTTTTCGAGCAACCAGCATGTCCAAATATCATGTGAATGTTGGAGACTTGGCAACATTGTGCTGAATGCTCAGAACTGATAAGAACCACGCCCACAAGTCGTCCGCCGTGGTTGTCACGTTCACCGATTCAAATGTCCTCTAGTTTGAATTGATATACACGCAGTTCCAAAAAAAGTGACGCACTTGATATTTGACCTATCTTCTTAAAAAAAAATTGTATTTTTTTATTTGTTGGTAGGTAATGCATTTGTCTTGAAAAAAAAATAAAGAGGTGAACATTTTTTCAAAGCCTCCATGATGGTGGTGGAATAACTCGAACCATGATATATTCTTAATTTTTGACTCACCCTGTGTGTTAATTGAGTAATGGTATACAAAGTGCTCACACCCTATGCGAAAGAGGCTTCTTTTGCGAGCATTTTGTTTTTTTATTCATTGATTTATCTCTAAAATTTTCCGAATTACAGCTTTTTTGTTGATACCTTAGGCTTATCCCACAAATTAAATTTATTGAAGGATCAGAGTACTCAAAATTGATTGGGTTGTACTCTGGTAGAATCACATTGTCTTTAAAAAAACAAATGCCGTTGCCATAGAAACTAATTTGTTGTATGCCTCCATATTTGACCATTTGTTGTTGTGTCATTGATTAAGTGTCGTGTTTTATTGACTAAAATTACATAAAATGCCTCAAATAAATCCTGAACAAGTAGCAAGATTAGTTGCGTTAGTAAACGATGGGT